TTCGAGCTCACCAAACATTCATTTTTCCGTCGCCCTTCCAAACGATTTTGCCCTTTCTCCTATTATTCGAGGCCGCGCTTCGCCAGCTGCAGCCGTTGACAGAACCATCCTTCTTTTGGCGTTGTCCTGGTGACCCGCCCCCACCCCCCCCCCCCCCCCCCCCCCTGTCAGCACGAACGGTCATGGGCCACCGAAGAGCTGGCCTTCGGCCGAAACCGACGCTCGCCTTTGGTCATCACAAAGGCGCCACTCTCGCTTCGGTGGTTCACGAAGAGAAAACACTGAGGGTGCGGTGGCTTAGTCCTAGCTGTGCCTTTGGGACCACTGGCTGTGTTGTCTCAGCGGGCCGCGATAACTTACGCTCGGCGACGACTTGCATGCAATCTGACAGCAGCAGTGTGCACGAAGCGGCCACATAAATTGAGCCATCAACAGACGGGGTTAGGTTTTCTGGGGCTCCGTGAGTGCGAATTTAGACCACGGCTCGCATCAAGCTGGTTGCTAATCCTAGAAGTTCAACTGGCTCGATTAATGTACTAGACGACCTAGGCGACAAAAAACGACCAAAGGTGAAGCTCTGACGTTTACCGGCACATAAGCCGAAATTAATTGCCCCACCCAAGCTGTTCAGACCTTGAAAAAAGTAGACTCTCTCTATCATAACCGCCTCATATCATAACCGCCTCTCTATCATAACCGCCTATCATAAACCGCCTCTCTATCATAACCGCCTCACTGACGGAATAACCAGTCCTAAGGTTCAGCTGCACAAGTGGGTTCTGATGTCGCTTATTTCCATGTACCACAAAAGTAGTGCTGTATTTCACAAAGTTAAGGGGGTGTTTCACGTTTGAAGATATTGAAGCAAGCATCAGATGTGATGAAACAGGTTCCTTCTATGACTATTGGTATGCATTTATGTGGAGAACACTGCTCTAGACAGCACAATTCTCTGTTCAGTAAATATGCTTCTCAATGCGGCATGGTTCAATTACGTCATCGCACCTGGCAAAACATCGATTGAGAGCCAATTGTCTGGCCGTTATGTCTGGAAAGCGCACTCACGAACGCCAGATGTGAATGCCTCGACAATGATATTTTTTCTTGGCCTCGATCGTCGCATGGCCTACGGAATGGCAGGAATTGAATGACGTTATTATGACGTCATGAATGGCAAGGTGCTTTTGAAATACTCGTCCGATGTGCCTTTCCCCATTTTCGCGGGCGTGCGGCTCAGAAACCAGAGCGGCTTGAGTCTTGAGAAGGGCAGGATTGTGAGCAGCACCGGAATTCCTTAGGATGACTATTTCAGTTTAAAACTCCATACAAATGTCGAGTATTCCTATTAAAGAACATAAAGCCCCTGCCCAACCTCTGCGCTGGTTGTTGCACCTTCGCCGCAACTTCTTGCCTGTCAAACCTGGCAATGCTAAACCAACATTTTGATGAAAATGACTCACTTTACTTTCACCATTTCTGAAGGAAGAAATCGACTGACCATCGTATATCTAGGCCCAAAATATGCGGGTGCTCTGTATGTGCGTGGGTATGTGCAGATGTAAGGATTGTGGCTGGCGGTGTTCATGGTAAGTGTATGGGGATTACGTTGATCCTCTCACCATACGAGAAAATATTTTTGACCCAAATGGTTAATTATTGGGAACATATCCATCATTTCCTGCCTGCACAAAAGGCAAATAATCTTAGCAATCTAAACGAGAAAGCAAATTAAAATCTTAAACCTTCTGTTAACTGGTGTAGCCGTAGACTTTTTGCAGGGTCAATCGTGAAGGTACGGCTAGATCAAATTAGGAATGCGGGGCGCGGGGAGTTTCAGAATGTAGAAAGTACCTTCCTTTCAACACACGCTCAAGGTAATACATATCCAGCTTCATGTAGGCGGGGAATTTAATGCGTATTGCTTTAACACAAGTGGTCACATTCAGTCTGCCCAACTTGGAGGACACGAGCTCCTTAGCGGAATTCACGCAGGAAAATACTTTTTGATATGCTGCACGGACACGCAGAAGGGTTGAAGTGTCTCCAGATAGGTGCACAGTCGCAGCCGTGCACCATCAGTGCCAAGTTCTCAGCACACCGCATGAATAAAGCCTTCGTGCTGCATAAGCGTGTTGGTGTAATCGATCTGTCTTCTCAACACTTAACGACTGTCATAACGTGTGTTTTCCGAAGCTTGGAAGATGGCGCTGGTTGCACGTTTTCATGAGACAGATCGTTTTCATGAGACAGGGCGGGTTTTCATGAGACAGGTCGCGAATCCGACGTGACTAATTTCAACCCGTCTCTTTCCTGTCAGTCGTATCTAAGAATGCCGCAGAGGTAGTTTGCACGGAACTGATGGACTGATGTACAGCCATGCACTTTTCCATCGCCGATACGCTTACCGACCACACCATCCACGGAGGGCACCCTAATCGGCCCGTCCAGTGAACCTCTAAGACTATCGAAAAAGGTCACATTGCGTCGCCGAAGATTCTTTTCACAGCGTCGATCATGGCGCCGTCCTGGACAAGATAGAATGGCACGTAGCGTGCGAGGACTGGTTCCGAAGCTGTTTGCGTGATCGGAGGTGGGACTGTGGCGCAGGATCCGAGCTGGTCCTCCCATTTGTTTACGGCGTGGCACAGGGTTTCCATAGTCGGACCTAGCATCTTTGTCCTCGTCATTAACGATCTGTCCTCTCCTCCTTATGATCGTCTTCTGTTCTGTGATGGCACTCAACTCTTGGACTGCTCCCTATCCGATGTCGTTAACCTTTTCTTCCTGAAGGCCCGCGTCGAGTAGTCAATCAGCCATTACCGAAATTGGCTCCAGTTCAACAGCCGTTAAAATGATTCCTGATAAGAGCCATCTCACCATCATTGGCCAACATTCTTCCCCCGGAAAAATGTACAGGTTTTATAGAGCTTTGTCGCGCTCACATTCCGCAGTCTCCCACCGAGAGGGTAGAGGGCGTGGTCGGTCCTGGTCAGACGACCTGAGAGCTGGGAGCGGCCTCACCACGGTATGACCTGGGAGCCCACATATCTGCAGTGGTTCGCAAACGTCCTGAGAGCTGGGAGCGGCCCCACCGCGGTATGACCTGGGGGCCCACATATCTGCAGTGGTTCGCAAACGCAACGCCATCCTTCTGTCTCTCAGCAAATGTCGCCGCCGTTCCATTCCTGAGGCTCTCGCACCTCTAGTACAGCGCCGCGTTTTTCCTCATCACCCTCCCTTTCTCAACGAGCGCGGTTATCCATTGCCATCTGCCACGGATACCGATAGCAGCGACGTTCGCCGCGGGACTGATCGCTGATGGTCGCTGGGATTAGGCGTAACGAGCGCATCACATTACGTATCCATTCGTTGGCGTGGCTGAGTGTGAAGGAAATGGTGCACTAGCGGGACCGCCTCAAGTTCACCGTTTAGGTTTACACAAGTAAGCTGTTACGCGCTCAAGGCGCCGTAGCCCAGAGACATCGTCTCTTAGCACGCTGCGGGCCTTCTGTCATTGGACCACGGGCACATAGAATGCCTTGCCCGCTACCACCAATGCGCGAAGTCGAAGGGCCTCCTTGAGCGCTGTCCGCTGGCCAAGTCAATGACAAATCAATGACGTCAGGGCTATGCGCGATCTGTGTCCGTTGGTGAACGTTTTTATCACGTTTCTGCCAGTGACGTAACGTTGATGCGTGACGTAACATTTGATTGGGTACATAAGACACACCTGTGGATGGATCTTTGATAAGTAGATACGAACACGAATAGCTCATTATATAGAATGGCCAAGGGCCGGAAGATAAATTGTGGTTCATGTAAACGAGAGGTGCTGTGTTTGTATGCCGGGGTTTGGCATGGTCGGAGAGACGGACAGGTGGGCCTATAGTGATCGATGGCTTCAAGACCTTGGCCGTGTTGGAAAGCCACACGCTTCTCCTTTGTGACGCCCCACTTCCCAAGCATCACTCAAGCCTGATTTATTCTGTACCTGCTCTACTTATGGCCGACATCGCCATGCAAATTTTGCGATTAAGGTCTTAGACGAATGAAAAATGGAAATGAGTTTTGAGTGAAGAAGGCGACTTTCGTCAGCTCTAGAGCTTTGAAGTGTGCGTGCTGAAAGGTCTAGCGATAGGACCAGGGGCCCGAGTGGACGAAGAGGTGGTTCCGAATACCGGCTACATAGTACCTGCTGTCAGAGACAAAAGGAGTTTGAACTGCTGTGTACAAAATCGGTTTGTCAAAGCAGTACTGTCCCGCTCGCTCCCAAGCGCTCTTCTCCTTCCTCTCCTGGCAATATTGTCAGCCCTGGAATTCGTACCGTGAAACCAAATTCACGCTTTGATTCCGTGAGGTGGTCGCACGGCGACATGCACACATCGCGTCAAGACTTTATCGTCATCCTCTCGTGAACTATCCCGGTTTCCGGATGTCTCTCCCACGTCGGGGGAGGGGGCCGCGCGGTGGCCGTGACAGGCGGGCGACCAGCACCGGGAGGAGGGGGTCGCGCGGTGGCCGTGACAGGCGGGCGATCAGCACCGGAGGGAGGGGGTCACGCGGTGGCCGTGACAGGTGGGCGATCAGCACCGGGGGGGGGGGGGGGGGGGGGTCGCGCGGTGGCCGTGACAGGCGGGCGATCAGCACCGGCTCCCAGCAGGATCGATCCCGACGACGACCGCCAATTCCGGCTGAGCTATTGGAGCTGAGCGAAGCGAGCCGCCGTTTCGGGCGGCAGTGCCGGTCGGAGCGGCGCGGCTCGCCTTCGTCGCCGTCCCGGCCGCCCCCGTGCCCGGGCCATGTCGGCCACGGCCGGCCGTGTGGGGGCGTGAGTGGGGCTTCTGGGTGGAGGAGCCCGCTGCCGGCGCGGCGCATGCTGTGCGGCAGAGGCAGACGGCGGCGGTCGGGGATTCTCTGAAGGGTATTTCTGTGTTCTGTATGGCTGCGGCGTCTGGATCATGTGGTGCCACGCCATGTGCTTGTCGGCTTAACGAGAGTGCCGTCCAGACGGGCGTTCAAGAGCTGATGTGGAGCGCTCGGCAGGGCTGATGTGGAGCGCTCGACAGAGCTGATGCAGAGCTATTACAGCGAGAGTGCTGCCACGCACTGTCCCTGGGAAGATGCTGTATGACAGACCTACTCCAGGCCTGGAGCCAGACGTGACGTGAACTGGCGTGACGCTTCGCTGCCACTTCTGACAGTATGTGTCGCCTCAGATGGCGCGCCGACGTTACGATCTGCATCGACGCGCGTGACGTGGCAGCCTGTTTCAGGTCTCGTGACGGCTGTGACGGCCGTCACAGGCGGGCTCGCCGAGCTGCCGTGTGACGTGGACCCGGCCTCGGGTCGAGACGTCATGCACCTGGTGCTGTGGTACAAGGCCGGCTCAGGAGCGCCCTTCTACAGGTATGGCGCCCGCTCTGGCCGGGTGCTGAGCGCCGTCATCTCTGTCTGAGAGGACTCGCTTAAAGGGAGTGTTCCACATCTCTGTCTGAGCTGACTCGCTTAAAGGGAATGTTCCACATCTTTGTCTGAGCTGACTCGCTTAAAGGGAGTGTTCCACATCTTTGTCTGAGCTGACTCGCTTAAAGGGAGTGTTCCACATCTCTGTCTGAGCTGACTCGCTTAAAGGGAGTGTTCCACATCTCTGTCTGAGCTGACTAGCTTAAAGGGAGTGTTTCATATCTCTACATGAGCTGACTCGCTTAAAGCTCAAAATCTCTGTCTGAGCTGACTCGCTTGAAGGGAGTGTTCCACATCTGCGTGGGGTTCTGAACCGAAAAAGCCATATCAACCTTTTGATGCGGCTGACGGTCATACCCTTTTAAAGACCTAACGCCCCCTGGTCACTGAGCACAAAGGCCGCAGGCATGTGTGAGATTTATTTGAGAGAGCATTTGAAGATCACGTTGGGATTCGTGGCGCCAGAGCAACGTCATTCAAATCGTGTCATTCAACAAGCCATGCGGTGACCGAGGCCAATACAGACATAATGGTCTAGGAGCGGATTTACTAAACAGACAAATTGTGTTGACCACAGTAGTCTCTTCTCTTTAAAGGCATTACAACGTGTGCTTGTTTCATCATATATGATGCTTATATCTTCAAATGTAGAACATTCCCTTTATGTTCAGGGATGGAAACAGCCCGACGCCTACGTCAGATTTTTCGATTAGATAAGCTCGTTTTGCAATTTATTTCGTTTATCGACACGGTAATGCATATGAAATGCGACGCAACGCATCGCATTGCGTCGCAGAATCGCAATGCATCGCATTGCGATTCTTTAATGAAAGAGAAATAAAATGCGTTTTTGCAATAGTCGTTACTGGTGACAAGGTTATATAAAAAACAAATGGGTAGTTCCACTGACGGCAGTTTACAGTAAGTTCTTATCGACCAGGTTGGCTAAAATAACTGTAACTGATGTCCCCCACTGCTTACATCCACGTCTAAAAATTGAGTGAGTAGTTTTTAATGTGTTCAAAAGCACAGCCAAAATGAGCTTTGACGCAGTCCGCAGCATCTTCTAATCACATGCGCCCCTCCGGTCCACACCATCCCTCCCGCATAATTGAGACGTGATTAGATTTGCCTTGCAATGTATGATACGGATGCCACGCGCCACTCTGGCGCTGTGGTTCTATAGGATAATAGAGACGATTCGCTGATATGGATGGACTAACTGTCTGGGCGAATATATGATCATAGGTGTGATTATTCATTATGAAGAGAAGAGCTGCATTGTGCGTGACTCTTAGCCATTAACGCCTCACATGTTTTCTCTGGGTTGCTAGGATGCGAACTGGGGCCTTCTGATCACAAGTCCAGCGTTTTACCAATGACCTAATTGAGAAATATTGGCGTTCTTAGGTCGCTTGCTATCTGTCCGTCTCGGGCGGGCCAAATGATGGAGCGCAGTTTCTGAGGTGCAAACTAAAGTTATCGCTTTTCGGCCCACAGGCCCGCAATGCGCGGGCTTAAGAAACATCAGGGCTTTTAGCGCGCATTGCCGGCTGCATTGTGGGGTTTGTAAGGTACTCCATGCTTCAATTTACCCCACTTGTGTTTTCTTAACCACCAATTTTTATGGAGGTATTTAGCAATAATTGTAACAAAATCGGATGGAAAAAGAAGGTAGACATTAGAAGGTAAACACATTAAGAAGAAAATACATTTGTTTGCACAAAAATTATGCAGTAGTGAAGTAATATTTCATCATTAACTTCTCCAGTTATGCAATGCCTGCCATTTCATAAGCCAAAAATCCATGACATGCTTGAACTTTAAAAACTGACTAACATGACTTTATTGCTGTACCATTTACAGTAAGGTGCAATCGCTAACTATGCGTTCTCAGGGAATGAAATATCAACGCAAGATTAATGACCACTCTGGAATATTCCCTCATTACTGGTGCCGGCTGCCATAGGTATAGTTTCCCATTCAGTTATTGTGCTCGAACTTCAGCCTTCAAAAAACCGAGAAGCTTGGTTATTTTCCCTGCTCAGCCCAGCCGAAGCGTATTTGCAAAATTACACCCCCATAGTTTGCATACCGTTTACAGAATACATCACATGTCACAGAGAACACAGGATACATGCAAACACAATGGTTCGTACTTGCACACCTAATGGATGATACTACACAGGACATGTACAAACGGCAGATACCACCCAATCCCCGGATTAAGTTGAAAGCATGGCCCTCATCAAATTCCAAAACATGTGTGGAAAGCCATATCTTGTCCAAGACTGCCAATCCAGTCCTCTAGGCTTAGATTTTCGCTGCCAATTATGTACCTTTATATAGCAACGCTTCCCGCCACATACAGGCACTGGTTTGGTATTAAGCCAAGAGGAAACCACAACAAAATGCCGATACCAAACTATTCAAGCTAAGTTTCAAAATATGCACATCAAAGGACGAAATCGGCGCACGAAGATCGGCAAAGTCTGGCATAGCCGTCAACTGTTCAATGGGCTCGCAGCAAGCCTTTATTCGACGTGCGAACAGGCATGCGTTTGCTAGTCACCTTCGAAGGCATCATCAGCTCAAAATTGCGTAAGTTGTTCAGCGCATTAGCGAGGAACATTTGTTACACAGATAATACAGTAGTATTAGCCTTAATCCTCGGAAAAACCAGGAGAATGTAAATATAGTTAGGTTGATATTTCGGCAACATGCCTTTCTCGAAACAATAGCAGAAGTGAATTCAAAATTGCCTGCCGATGATCCTACTCGATTTTTCAGATTTTTTGAAAGAGCAAGCCACAGTTTTTACAGGACACCAACATTCAGGAGATTAAACAAAGAGCGATTGACAGCCATCAAAATGTCTGGAATTAGATTTAAGATTTAGATTAGAATAAAATGTCCATTAGAATGCAGAATGTTAGAATGTCCGGGCATTCTCATTCGTAGATAAAAACTGTATCTTGGTGATGAATGGCAATCGTTCTTTTCTTAATCCTCTGAATGTTGGTGTCCTGTAAAAACTGTGGCTTGCTCTCAAAAAAAACCTTGAAAAACCGAGTAGGATCATCAGCAGGCAATTTTGAATTCACTTCTGCTGTGGTTTTGGGACAGGCATGTTGCCGAAGTATCAGCCAAACTATATCTCCATTCTTTTGTTTTTTTTCGAGGAATAAGACTAATGCTACTGCATTATCTGTCGAATCATCAGCTGCTCATGTGCAAAGCATGCGGACATTTATAGAACACTAGTCTTTCATCAAATACTATGCTTACCTTCTCCTCGATTGCTGACTCGTCATGCGGCATGAAGATGGCCGGGGCTGGTCTGCATTATATGCACACCCATACTGAGGGTATATAGAGCATAAATCCAGGATTAAACAACCATTTTTGTATTTAGGCCTTAAGCCTCGTTGCTGGACCCAGGCCCGGGTAATCAGCCGTAATTCAGGTCTACCTGAAGGCGTGACTGTTGGCCTATATATGCATACACCTGCGCCTTTATATAAAGGTTTATTGTCAGCATAATTACAGCCGTCTATGTCATCAGAAAGGTGGTTTTTGTAATGTCTGGGCCATGGAAATGTTGTTGTTGTCATCCTTTGCATGGGAAATACTTGTGTGATGATATATGATGGCATCGACGATGTTATGAGGTATATGATGACGACGACGATGCATATGCATGTGTACATGGAGCAAAAATAAAGTTGACGGGTCCATGCGCGCTTTTTGGGGTAAACATGCCTGGCGGGGCGGGAGTGTTGTCACATTTGGGTGTGGGGTAGGTGCTCGTCTGAGATTTCAAAGCGTTCGTGTTCTAAATTACGTAAGTTGTTCAGTGGATTCGCGAGAAACATTAGTCACATAGATAAGACAGGAGTAATAGCCTTATTCCTCGGAGAAAAACCAGGAGAATGGAGAAATAGGTTGGTTTACATTTCGGCAACATGCTTTTATCGAAACAATAGCAGACATGAACTCAAAATTGCCTGCCGATGATCCTATTCGATTTTTCAGGGTTTTTTTTGAAACAGCAAATCGCAGTTTTTACAAGACACCAAAATTCTGGGGATCAAACAAAGAGCGATTGCCAGCCATTAGCACGATACAGTGCATATCTAAGAATTAAAATACGCGAAAATACGTGTACACGCAAACGAACTCAAGCCAGCATGCATCACGTGTCACGCTCCATTTAAACGTGAAGCGAGTTGAAGAAAACAGACATCACAAATCGCGCATCAGTTATGCATACAAGCGATTTCAACTGAACAGGCGTTGCGCGTGACGTGTCAGGCATCACCTACACAGGTTAACAGTTTTAAGCTAGCACGTGTCACACATAAAGGCACATATCACGTTCGCATGATCGGCCATGATGAGCCCTGTACAATGAGATTCGGCCACTTACTTTTTATACGAATACGAATTTATACAAACTTATTTTCCTGTGTAGGTGGTCCTGTGCTCTGTAGATGACCTTGAGCTGTAAAAAGGACGTAGGGTCCATACCTCTTTCGATTTCAGCCCGACCGTGTTTCACCAGAAAATGGTCAACGAAAGGAATATTCCTGTTCTGTTTCTAGCGTCTCGCACGTGTCCACTATATCTCAAAAGAATAGAGCGCATGGACTCCCCAACAAAGAACATGTCCCTCCTATGTTTTTCACACAGTTTGCATTCGATTTCGTAAACCACGTTTTTTTTGCGTGCGAACCTCTTGAAACCCAGAGTTGCACAAATGACATCTGTTGCCACCTGGGAACTCAGGCCTCGGGGTGGAAGATCTCACCAGAGACTTTTTGAGCTTACTGTCTTCCAAGCTATGCGTACGCGCAGTTTTGATTTTTTTAACGCGCACTCGGGTGGGGGTCAGATTGACCCACAAAGGTTTTTTCCGGAATGGGTTCGGACAGCTGTAGACAATTGAATAGCGGATCGTTCGGCGTCAACAGTTTTGATGTACCTTGTAAGGTCGCTGACCTGTGGCAGGTCAAAGTTAGGCCATGGTTTCAGCGAAGTCAATTTCTAGGGAATCTTTCATTCTGATGTAAAAACGGAGTGTTAGACGAAACCAAACATCTCTGAGATGCTTTCATAGGTAGCACAAATATTGAATGAGCACATTAAGCTGATCTAAGCTCACTTATTGAAGGCTAGACCAAGTACGGTGACCTAAGGCCACATATTGAAGTTTAGACCAAGATCAAAACCTGTTTTATTGCCTTAGGGCTTGCTGTATGGGTTTGCTGCTGGTGCTCATTTCGAATTTATTGATAGCGGGAAACGCATTATGCATCTTCTATGGGCTTATTAAAGGTCAGAATAGGTCATTGACCTAAAATGACACAGGACAACACTTTGTTTTTAGAAACACACTGCCTTGCGTTTGATCGTATTGTCTAGCTTTATCTCTGCCGCTTATTCAAGAGCAAACTCAGAGCAGTCCTGTATATTTTTGGTCACCATGATCTTCAAAAAGTCAAAAAGGGTCACTGACCTAAAATGGGCATGTGAACTTTTGTTTAGAAACAATAATCTAGGTTCTGGGGGCACTTTGGAGACCATCCTGGAATTTGACATTGTTTGACCTTATTGAATCCGAGGATCATGACCTAAGAACCTCAAATTTGATCGAAGTAGATTCACGTACAGGTCAACACACCCTATAAATTTGGTGCCTCTAGCTCTCTTATTCTTGAGATCTCAGGGGGGGGGGGGTCAAACTGACCCCCACTCGCGAACGGTATCCAACCGGCCACCCGGGCGCGTGTTAACGATATGTTTGGTTTCTCGAAGCAAATGCTCATCTACGTAGGGTAGCGCCACTGATTTTTATCCGAGGAATAAGGCTGTTACTACTGTCTTCTGTGTGTTCGCGCCCCACTTTAAAATTTCAAAAAGTGGCAGCACTAGTGCAAAGTCAAACAGTCCACCACCCGAGAAGCCGGATGTCCAAAGTTCTACTGTTTGGCTGCGTCGATGGCATGTGACGTGAAAGTTTCTCTTAAGGACAAGTGTTTCAAATGAAGACTTTGCCTTACACTCGGACTATCTGCGTACCTGCCCCGGCACCTCAAACCGCTCGATCGGAGTGATCTTCAGGTGTGGATTTAGAAAGCGAGCCCGTATTCCCACCGGACAGGTTGAGCGATGCTTTAATTACACGTGAGCAGACCCAGTTAATGGCGAGCGCCAGCTAACCTCCGCCAAATAGCTTCGTCAACGAGCCTCGCGGCCTTCACGAGCACAACTCGCCCCCTTGTCGGCAGCATGCCCTGGCTTTGTTGCAGCTACGACACGCGCGGCGGGAGGACCTCCCAGGGCACTCACTGGGCGAGCGAGGACTCGCTCGGCGAGCGGTCCCGGCTCGACCCCCGGCCAGGGGCGTACCGACTGATGATCAGCAGCGTCAGTGAACGCGACGCCGGCCTGTACCGGTGCCGCGCCGACTTCAAGGCGTCTCCCACGCTCAACGCGCGGGTCAACTTGACAGTGATAGGTCAGTTTTTGTCGATTGGTGCAACGATTTCCCTTTTATTTACCGTTGTTTTGGCGTTGATTGATTTGTCTTTGCATGAAGCAGTGTGTTGGTGATCCTTATTGCCATTTACACCGAGTTTTAGATCAATGCACATTAATGTGAATTTTCTCTTTGTTACACGCTTCCGTTGGGGGCATCTCGACTGTCTTTCATTGACGTCAATACTTTGCCTGGGCCTAGAACACGTGAGGTTTCTTTAGCTCACTGCAAAGGGTGCGATGCGATGCTATAATTGTTTCTAAAGCTATTGTAATTGGATGACATGACCAAGAAAAGTTAGTAAGTTACCACCTCCCCCCTCCATCAACGGCCTGAATTAATGGAAACCACTCCATTGTTTTCGAAAGTGTGTACTGAAACATTGTGCATATCGCCATGGCATATTGACCAATGACCCCGCTGTCGTAGTTCTGCTCGGTGAAAATGTGGATACTGGGCTCTTTGCGACGCGCCTTCTGCCTTATGTGTCCTATGTGGGTGCGGATCCAGGACTTTTGCAGGAAGGGAGACGATTTCTCCACAAAAACCTCCTGTGCTGTGACTGGTCCCAGGAGATACCATAACCATCCCATGTATATAAAAACATACATACATGCATATATATATATATATATATATATATATATATATATACATATGTATGTATGTATGTATGTATGTGTGTATAAATCATAATCAATCTTACATTACTCGCGGCGCGTTCCACAGAACAACGGTTGCATCATCAGGCAGAAGAACACTTACGTTCGGTGTAAACATCATGGTTTAAAACACGCAGAGACAAATTGAAAATGCCACATATGCACGTGCAATGTCACGCGATCAGCCCCAACTTGTAAAGACATGAATCATTTTATCACAAGTTATAATGGATATGATTAAGTCACGCCACTTACCACTCAGCGTCACTTCAAAAAGTATAAGGGTTAAGGAATATATGTGCAAGGTTCTCAGATCAAGCGAGGGATATGTCCTGTCCAAGACACTAGAAATGTCTTTAGAAACATATGTGTCGTCTCTCATATCTCTTAGAAATTTTAGCCAAAACTGGGATGTCACATGTAAATGAATGTTCTCGTACGGGGAAGGGATCAGATTTTGGAAGAAATTTCGCCGTCCAGATAGACATACGTAAATGCTGCTGAATGCGAGTCTCGAAGGGTGAAACCTGAGTAGGATGCCCCACAGGAGGCACAACAAAGCTCGTACACAGCAGTCAATTGGCGGCATTCAGGTATCCTATTTTTATGTTTGAAGAATGAACCTACTGAAAAGGAATTCGCTATGACAATCGCAGGATCTAAAACTGGAGGGAATAGGAGGCTGATCAACTCACGTTTGAAGCTTTCAGCATCCGAGCCCAATTAGGGCAGAACAAAACATCTTTTGAGTTTCGCAACGTGAAAGGGCCTGACCGAGGACAGATATCTAGAATCGAGGGACATACGAATCAATAAATGTATGCTACTTAAGGGGAAACCGTTGCTCCAGAAATGCTTGAAAAAAATCTGGAAATACTGCCTCCAGGAGATAATGAAAAGCTTGATTAATTTGTCCCTAAAACTGGTGTGTTGTTATGATTGCATAAAACTTCCAGAATAGAGTTTTTATGTGGTCTGGTTATGTTATGATTGCGTATTTTTGTGTGAGAATTTGGTGGACGAGATGTCTCGCATCGTCGAGTTGTATGTGTTCTTTTGGTACCCCATCCGTGAGGTACCAAGTGAGCCGTCTCAGCAAAGATGTTGCAGTGACATCAATGTATGATACAGGAGGAAGCCTGTAATCGTCGTTAGGACAAGCCAATTTGTACACTACATCGGTGTACTTCCACATTTGTGTCTTCATAGGGTTGGCTTTCATGAAAGGTCTCTCTCTCTCTCTCCCTTCCCCCCCCCCCTCTCTCTCTCTCTCCTTCTCCTCCTCTCTCCTCCTCTCTCTCTCTCTCTCTCTCTCTCTCTCTCTCTCTCTCTCTCTCTCTCTCTCTCTCTCTCTCTCTCTCTCTCTCCTCTCTCTCTCTCTCTCTCTCTCTCTCTCTCTCTCTCTCTCTCTCTCCCTCTCTCTCTCTCCTCTCTCTCTCTCTCTCTCTCTCTCTGCGCATGCACACAATCTTAAGCCTCAAAAGCACAGATGCCCGCCAATGCAGCGTGCAAATGATGCTTCCCATTCAGGGAACTCCCTCACTGATCAATACTGATTAACGTCTCAGTGTTGTTTACTTTCAAAACACTGCGCTGGAATGGCTAACTCTTCACCTTGGTACAGGATGACGTGGATTTGTTTTTTTGCACCACACAGGATAATATGCACTTTCGTCCTTTACACCACCGTCGTCACTGCCGTTGCGGCAGACTACTACCGGCCCACTGGAAACAGCAGACAGCCTACCCACATGCCGTTTTAGCACGATCGAGTTCGAAAATGACGCTATTTCTTTCAACGTTTGGGGTGTTGAAGACTTAAGTTGGTCAGAGTGAGAAACCCCAGGACCAAATCGGACGCTACTGAGCCATCAAGGATACCGCGGCCGGTTAGCGCACGGGACTAACACCGGTCTGGCGGCGGATCCTCCGAAGAAAAGATCCCTAATCCCTGTGATGGCCCCTTGAACGGTCGAGATAGGTATGCCTTTATCTGATGATCTTACTAGTTTAATCTAAACCATCGTTCAGTGTTTGATGGCCAGTAAATGCTACTTTCGTGCAGATGAACTCCCGAAACTAAAATGTTTGATGGGTATGCCGCATTTAATTCAATTTGTCTTTCTTTTTTGTGGTTTATCTCATTCAGAATCGCATTGCAACAGTATCTGAAAAATCAGGCTTCAGGTGACAGATCAAACATTGCCGAATTCCGTCGGTGACTGGAAACGCACTTTTCACCCCAGCATATGGTAATGTACCGCGCCACTGGCGATAGCTATGGGACCCTTCGCATTGGTGTCAGGGCCACTATACTATACCAGTGCTTTAAGCCAGCACTGGTATAGTATACTTTGTAGTATGTTTCTGTCACCTGTTAAAAACTATTCTGATTCAGGCTGCTATGTTTGGCAGCATGTTATGGCTCAACATGCTCATGCAGCAAAACGTTAACATTTGGACATGTACTCTACACATGCTCACGCTGCAAACGTTAGCGAGAACAGATTAATTAAGCTTTTAGTTTCATCTAGCTGGGATGGGCTGTTGTAATTTGTTCTGGTCTGTTGACATTTGTTTTCATTTTTGCAATTTGATGGCCAGTCGGCTCGCAAAAGTCTCAGTTTTTGTCACCTTCCATATCCGGTAAATCAGAAACTTTTTCACCCCTGACCACATGGGCCCTGGCAACACTGCAAGGCCCTATGAGCCAACAGCAAAACATGGGAACCAATGTGAGAGATTATCGGGCGAGCGTGAGTGCTCCGGCAGGTTGACCTATAGGGCCCTGACGAGTGCATGACCCTCTAAGGAAATGAGGAGAAACGAGTATATGGGATACTTTTAGTCGATTGAGAGCTTTAGCCTTTCTGAGACCAAAGTTGTCCATTTAGAGATTCCTTGGGCCTAAGAAGAAGGGATGGGGGCGTGAGGATGAAGTCAGCTCCACTAGCCTTCGCCTTGAATCCACCTCTGTCTTTATGCGAATCGTAATGCCTTTTCTCAATGATTCTGACGGTGTGAAATAACTGTATTATGCACGTAATCGATGCATGCCACCTTTGTTAAGGTCATTGACGGTCAAGGAGACGACAGACCTGTTCTGTTTAGAACTCAGGTGACTGCGGTTTGGCAATGGTGGCGTAACAAACTTGTAACGTAATTATGTACATGCAGATTGTAAGTGAAAGGCACTCTAAGGCCAGTTCCAGTCGAGATCATGAATGAATGTCAAGTGACTGGACAATTACCACTTGCAAATTACGTAAGCCATAGGAAGTAAATAGCGTCGAGCCTTGAATTATATTGGTCTGACTCTGTGGACATCTATGGGGATGTACACGGCTATAACCAAACTTTGGTCTGACCTTGTATAACCCGCCAAAACATACCCACCGTAAGTAACACTGCGTGGTCTATGTTAACGCTTCTCATTATAGCGTCTACACTAGTAATACGCGTCTCTCTGCGTTGACTCGCTTTTTAACGTATCGGCGACGGCATGACACCGTTCCACCAAGCCTTGTTCACCACCACGTTTCCGGTGCAGTATTCTGGCATCCTGGTACATATTGTGACAGGTGTGACTTCAACGGTTCGGCTTACATGCGGTTACATGGATGCGATGGGTCGCTGCCAGGCCTGTGCCGGTGGACGCGCCACCTCGGCTTTCCCTAAGGCTCTCAGTGAATGAATTAGTAGTGTCCATAAGGTGCCACACTTGGCCACACAAGGCTACAGACGTCTATGTGTAGGAAGTATCCGGTGCAATATTCTAAATTGTAGCAAAGGTATGTAAATGTCGTCCGGTTCTCTCGCACAAACTCGGATACACTAAAGGCGAAGATATGTTTATCGGCAACGTGAAGTCTATTTGTCACTTTTGTAGACTTTTCTCCGGTAGACTGGATGTGGCGAGCAATTTACGATATGTCCAGTTAGACACCTTAGATGCTTAGATCTGGACATTTTATACATATATTTTTCGTGATTTCTGGCAATAGTTTGCACTCGAACATACTTATATTTTGGGAGAGTGACAGGAGTGGTCTTATTATAACCTTACACTTAGAGCCCGCCGCCGTACGCGTGTGCTTTTTTATCCAAGATACTTTTGGACTATCTGCTTGGTATCTTTTAGCTGGATGTGAAGTCCCCACATTAACACCTGCTTTTGTGCATAACTCACTGATCCTTATTGCTTCCCCAGATTAAGGTAAACACATTTTTCTCGATAGACTTGACAATATCCGCTTTGTGGGGCTTTGGCAGTACTGTCATGAAATACTAAGTTGAACAGCGCCTCAGTCTTGACAA